AATTTTAAAAAAATTGGTAAAAACTGATTTTATCAAATATCAAATCTAGTTGTCCTGATTACAATATCGTGAACGTTTTCTGCTGAATCATCGTTTAATATAATTTTTTCTATTATGAAAGTAATTTTTCTTAACAAATATCAAAATAAATATACTAGAGATTAACATACTTAAAATGTAACTATCTGCTATCATTAGCTTAATTTAAAAAAAATGTTGAACATTGATTTCAAAATTCTATTTGTGAGGCGACAATACTGAACTTTTTCAGACGATCGTAATTTTTATGAATTTTTTCCCATTGTGTAACTGAATTTTTTTAATAAATAACAAAAAAAGACATACTAAAAATTAACATACTTAAATTACAACAATATACTACAATTATTTAATAATAAGAATTTTAAAACTGATTTTATCAATATTTATCAAATCTATATACAGACGACAATATAACGGAGCCAAGTAGATGACAAATAGATGATTAGTGTTTTATTTTGCAATTTAAAAGTATACCGAATTGTTGTAGGGCAATGTGATGTTAGACAATGTTTGTTTATCGTTAAATTTTGTATGGATCCTTCATACACATTATTCATATCAATCAAATAATTTAAAAGTTACAAATCACAAACAAAAGTAATACACATATACATAACAATCTAGACTACATTTTCCATATCCAATATCAATTTACCTTGTGGAAATATAGGAGCATTATCATTGATATCCTTGAGATTAACTTGGACATCAGCATAGCCAACAAGTCCTTCACCCCCCCTCGTCCTGGGCAAAAACTGTGAAACGCCACTGGGGTCGTCCGTTGGGCTGATCTCTATCTAAGGCTGTAAAGGAAAAAAATAAATATTAGTTTTCAAAATTTCTCAGGGTACGATGTTGTAATTTGGATATGTCAAAACCAGAAGCGTATTTTAGGTATAGAAATTATAAAATTGAAGTACTTCTCAGGTGGCGAGAAATTTAGGAAAAACATGGATAATGTATACTTGATGTAATCCTTGTAGTTTCGCTTAAAATATACAAAATATCCCACTGATACTTGAAAATGCAACTTACCGACATGTCGGAAAATTTATTACATATAATTTACACCTAGTTTTTATATATCTCTTAATAATTTTGAATATTTAATCCGAAATTGTAGACGAACAAGGGAAATAGTAATTATTGTTCTAGTGCATCTATATGACGATGTTTAATTCCAAAATGCTAAATGTAGCTAAAATTACAGTTTGTACAGCGAAATAGCGAAATAGACTATCTATATGCAATATCTGGCACTCTAATAACCACATTTACATATTTATGCACAAACATACATATGCACGTATGCAATATATCAAAAGACATACATACATAGAAAGTTGTGAGTTTGCTAACAGTTTACTTAATTATTATTAAAAATAAACAAATTTTGTAGCAAAATTTAGTGCAAAGTGAATGCAAAAATAACAATGAATACATACATATATATGTATGTATCTATATATCTGTATTTGTATCGATATTTGCCATCATAAATTTTTATCGTTTCGCATTCTACCGGAAAGTAATTTTTGCAACGGGCTCGTCGCAAAAAAGCACTGAATATCAATTTGTATTCACGATTATATGGGGACAACGTATATACACAGTCCGACATTGGGGGCCATTGAATAATTATTACTTTTTACGACAACACAAAAAAAATACAAACAATACAAACCGAAAACAAACACCGGAGAGACACGCAAAAATCATGGAATTCGGCCGGCAAAAAATGGATTTGTAAAAATATTGAGTTGGTAAATTTTTTTGAAAGGAATATATGTTATATGTAGTATTGCATTCTCTAGCTATGCTCCCCATAGCTTATTGAAAAAATAAGTATTCTGAAAATTTCAATTTTTGACTCGAACATAAATTTATATTTTTTACCCAAAATCTCTGTATGAATCTCTATAAATTTATAATTAGAAAAATAATTATTTAAAAAAAAACAATGTACTCAACTTACATGTTTTTAGTGTAAAGTTTTATATTTTCTTTATTTAGGGTCGTTAAAAGTTTTCATAAAAATCTCTTCGATGTATAATAGAGTAAATATAATAAAATCTTCTGAAACTTTTTCAATTTTTTTATACTAGTATATGTAATTATTAATAATTTTTAGATTACATAATAAAAAAGAATTTGCTAAAGTCACTTCAAGTTTGAAGCATTTTTTAAAAATTTGTTGCAAAGTCTAATTGTATCATATGAAAATATTGTGATCTTTTTTCACTCGATCGTCAATTTAAACAATTTTAATAAAACTTTTTAAAAACAATTTAATAAACAAAGATTATTGTTTGTGTGACTAATTTTTTTTAATGAATAACAAAATATACATACTAGAGATTATGTAAAATTTGAAACAGTATACTACAATTAGTTTTATTTTAAAAAATTATAAAAACGATTTTATCAATATTAATAAAATCTAGTTGAACCGAAGTCAATATGATCTTTATTCAGTCGATTATAATTTTGTAATAATTTTCCCAATAAGAGACTAATTTTTTTTTTAAATAACAAAACAGACATACTAGAAATTATTATACTTAAATTGCAACAATATACTACAAATAGTTTTATTTAAAAAAATTGTTAAACTCGATTTTATCAATATTAATCAACCTAATACAGATGGCAATATAGTGACTTTTTCAGTCAATCGTAATTTTAATTTTTTTTTCTCA